GGAATTAGAATTCAAAGAAGTAGAAGTCAAAGAAGTAAGAGGAGGAGGAATTAGAATTCAAAGAAGTAGAAGTCAAAGAAGAAAGGTAGAGAGGAAAAGAAATGAAACTCCTACTACTCTAAATTCTATTACTGCGCTGCGCAATCGCAGTAATAGAATTTAAAGAAGTAGAAGTCAAAGAAGAGAGGAAAAGAAGTAAGAGGAGGAGGAATTAGAATTCAAAGAAGTAGAAGTCAAAGAAGAAAGGTAGAGAGGAAAAGAAATGAAACTCCTACTACTCTAAATTCTATTACTGCGCTGCGCAATCGCAGTAATAGAATTTAAAGAAGTAGAAGTCAAAGAAGAGAGGAAAAGAAGTAAGAGCAGGAGGAATTAGAATTCAAAGAAGTAGAAGTCAAAGAAGTAAGAGGAGGAGGAATTAGAATTCAAAGAAGTAGAAGTCAAAGAAGAAAGGTAGAGAGGAAAAGAAATGAAACTCCTACTACTCTAAATTCTATTACTGCGCTGCGCAATCGCAGTAATAGAATTTAAAGAAGTAGAAGTCAAAGAAGAGAGGAAAAGAAATAAGACTCCTACTACTCTAAATTCTATTACTGCGCTGCGCAATCGCAGTAATAGAATTTAAAGAAGTAGAAGTGTAAGAGAGCGTAAGTAAAGCTAAGAAGGGTTAAAAGCAACAAGAGAGAAAAATCTATTGCTGCGCTGCGCACACGCAGGAATAGATTTCGAAGCAGTAATAGTAGTAGAGAGAAATAAGAAGAGGAAAAGATCTCACGCTGCGCTGCGCAGACGCAGCGGTAGACCTTCGCTGCGGAACCGCAGCAGTGGTGGTGTGCAATGCTCCCCGCTACCTCGGCGCTGACAGCAAGCTGTTTTCAACCACCAAGGCGCGGGTGATGATGGAGAGGGGCGCACAAACCGCCTCCCGAAAACTCCCACTGCTCACCTCGAGAGGCTTTGCAAGCGGGTAGCACGTATACCCCAGTGGGTTGAATTGCGTGTTGTGGTATACCCCAATAAAGTAGAGCCGTGCATTCAGCCCAAGCAATTCTTCAAGTCGTACGTTGTTTGCAGCATAAAAACTGATCTTACAAAATTAGGCTTATAAAGCAAAAAATGAAAAAGGAGCCACGCACCTACCTTTATATTGAAAATTTTGATAAAATGTACAAAATTAGCAATACGTGTCTAAAACAGATTGTTTTTATTGTACTGTCAAGCTCTCTGCCTAGAGCCCACAAAGTATAAGAATCACTGGATAGATAGAGCAACTTTTTATGTTTGTGCGCGCCATCTGAAAGGTGTGTTCGAAAGTATACATCTTTATTTAGCGGTCCCTGCAGTAAAGTCTCAAAACAGTCTGAGGTGTCTTGCCGCACCTCTCCCCAGATGGCAGGGCTTCGCGCAGGCTAAGTGACGTGAGTCTCCGCCCGATCAGGCCAGTCGCATGTCGGGGGTTACGGTGTCATGACATGCGAGATTTGGCGCCATGAGGCATCGCCACCATCAAAACGATGACAGCGCACTGCCGGCGTAACCCAAACAAATACTTTGACAATTTTTATTTGTAACACTTCAACAAGGTAGGCATAAAAAAACCGTTTCTCAATTATTTTAGCCATTCAGGAGCATGCATAGTGTGAACGCATAGAAAATTGGAAAGTGACGAACTTTAGGTAGCCGCGCGGACCAGAAAACAAACAGTCACGCCGCTGCTGGCGAAGGGTACAGAAACTTTACCGAATACTGCCAACGAGGTGTACCTACACAAGTGTAGGAACGTTAGCGGAGTACGTTAACCAACTGCAGCGAAGCTTTCGTGGAGTGCGATACATACATCAGCCAACGCTGGGCAGCTTCTGTGCTCCGGTCATCTCCTTGGGGCTATGCGTAGTACGTACCTTCTTTGCGCATGAACGCTGATGCATGCATATTGTTCACTGCTGTGCATGCTAAAATGTTACTTACGCGGCTTTTAGTTCATGTAAACATAGATCGATTGACTCGCAATAAAACGGTTTATTGATGTAAACTTGTGTACTCAGCGTTGTCATTTCGCTCGGCCTGTACGTGGCATCATAACTTACTAAAGTAGGTATGCACGATACTTATGAGCTTGTAGTGAGTAGTTTACTGCAATGTACTATATAAAAATTGGAGAAATTAAGAAAGGGGGCTGCTGCAGTAAGTGGGAACAGCCATGGCGAAGAAGCAGACGACGATGGTGTCGTCTGCTATGCATAATGCCAGCCGCCTTATCAAAACCGCTTTTGTGCTCTTGAAAATTATTTCCTTTTACGCTCAGCAATGAAGATTACAAACAATATTTTGAGTTGCTGTTTTTTAAACAAATATTTAAAAGTAAAACATTATCGGGATAATTTTGGTCCCCTTTGGCTCTATGGGGTATGTCGCTCCCTTGGCCCAATCTCAAGGGCACAGTCGAATACACCTTCCTCCGTGGTCGAATACATCCATCCGTCATTGAACCACCCGCGCCAGCACCATGGCCGGGACTCCAAGGTTTTCCGAGTTTCCTACAACTTAATAAGGCGAGTACGTGATGACCCCGCATTTAAATCATTTCAAGCGCAGTGACGGACCTTAAAAGCGAGAGTTCCATGGCATCGTGGAAGCGCACGTTTTAGAAGGGAGCATTTCGCAGGACGCTGGTAGGGAATTCCTGGGTTGCTCTAATAACATTGCAATGCGAAGGTTGTGTACGCGATCTTACGACGATTAATGCTGCATGGTGTGGCGATAACGGGAACATACATGACAGGAAACCTTGGCACGCGTGCCTTCAACGGCAGCCCGCCGTCATATCGAGTCAAAATTATTATGCCGAGACAAGAGTACAACTGGCAATGGTCTGTTTGACGTTGCATAAACAAGTTGCAAAATTGTGGGGTGTTTATTGCCATACTGCTGGCAAATTTGGTGCCCCTGTACTTTTGCTTTACTAGTTAGGGCTCTGTCGTGCGCGTCGTGCGCGGTGAATTTTGCGACTGCGTGTGCGACCTTGGCCGTTTTAATTAACGGAATAAACGGCGCTTTGCAGAAGTCGGAGTGCGTTCTCTAGCTAATAGCGAAGCTGAGAAATGAAGAGGTCGTTCTCGATCGTGCCTGAGATCAGAATTAGGGAATCGGCGCGTAACGACGCGTATGACCATAGTGGTATCCGCTGGGTGTCAAGAAGGGCGCGAGACCCCTCCCCACTGGGAAAAGTTGGGGGGAGAGGCTGAGCCCCTCCTCTTTTTATAGTGGTCACTCTTGCAGCACGCTGGAAAAACCAACAAGTAAGCTGAAGTTTTCCGTCACAAGATTAATCACTCAAATATGTTCTATGGGAGAATGAAAATGTTACGAGGCAATGTTACAACATAGTGAAATTTTATTTATTTATTTATTAACCACAGTGCCCATAAAGGCATTACAGTGGGGGGGGGGGGGGGTACAGGAATAGAACATGAAAATTTGCAGGTTTACATAAGTTTGTGCAAAAATAGAAATTAAGGTAAGTAGATTTGCAAGACACAAAACATACACAACTGCAGTGAGCACAGCTGCGTCAAAAAAGTCATATGTATTAGAGAAAAAAACAACAACAAAGTAGCATTCGGCTAGCCCAAGGCCAAATTAACCCCAAAACATAACATGGTGTACAATTCACATACCGTATAGATCATGGCGACTGCCAGGCGCACACACGTAGTCCATAGGGCTTAGCGGTTGAAAGAGTCGATCATTTTTATTGCAGAAAAGAACGCATTCGTTGAAGAAATTTCTACAATTGTGGGAGGAAGTCGATTCCACTGACTGATAGTTTTAGGAAAACAAGAGTTGCTGAAGAACGGCGTGTAAAAAAGAAAACACCCTTTTCCGATGTATTGCATTTATAGTCTCTTATCTTGTGTTCTTGATCATTGCGGGCTGAAGTGTAGTGAGGCAGGCTTATGTATACGTCACGGGGAATTCGAGTACAAGAATAAAATATGCTGTGTAATAGGGGAGACCCACGCCGAGGGATGCGCTGCAGAGCCTGGCGCTGTCAGTCAATGTGGGGTGAAAACTGGTTACTCGTGTGTTGACTCTTCCGCTGTCCCCTTCAACCTGCCCTGAAGACATGTTGCTTTGCTTGCATGCTGCACACGTTCTGCACGTGTTTTTCAGAGTTTCCCGTCGCGCGCGGTTATGATGTATATGCTTCTGTTCGCGTTTTATAGGATCGCCGCAATTTCAGTTTTTTTTCGTGGCAGCAATTTGGTAAAAGGCCAGCGTCTGCTCAGCCATGTAGCCCATGCGAAGCAAGTTGTAGCAGTTGACGCCCTCGTCAGAGCGAAGTGCGTTTCGCAAGTGAAAGACGACACTGTTATGCCGGAGAAGGCATAATTCACGGAAAGCGGCAGAGCAGAGGTTATTTATGCGCAAATTCGAGGATAAGGTACTTGTTAACGTTAAGCCTAAGTATTTATAGGAGGCTACTTTAAGTAGAGGTGCGTGAGCTAAATTGTATGTGCAGTCTAATGGGACTTTTTTGTGCATTATGGCGAGATACACACATTTGTTTGCATTAAGAAGCATTCCCTATTGTTCGCACCATTTTGATACATTGCCTAAGTTAGTATTAAGGTCACATTGGTCACTAATGCAGGTTGCATCTCTAAACAAAACACAATCGTCAGAAAATAGACAAATTTGTACCGGGGTGCTAATTACATCGACAATGTCATTAATGTAGAACAGAAACAGAAGGGGCCCTAGTACGCCCCCTTGCGGAACGCCAGAAGTCACCTGAAGGCAGCCCGATAGTTTTTCTCCTACCTGAACATATTGGTCGCGATTTGAGTAGATAAGCTGACATCCAGGAGATCACTAATTCTGGTTATGCCAACCTAACCGAAGCTTTATAATTAGTTTATGTGTGGACACTGTGTTCGAATGCTTAGGGTGTTCTAGAATATTACATCAATTTGGCGTGGGAGTGGCTAAGTAAACAGTCACGTGGGACTCCGAGGGGACTCCGACAGGTTGGTGTCTTCGAAAAGACCAACGAGGTAGGCCTCGCTAGCTTCCTGTAGGGCCATCACGGCAGAACTCTGGAAACGGAGGTCCGTCTTGAAGTCCTGAGCGATTTCCCGCACCAGGCGCTGAAAGGGAAGCTTGCGGATCAGCAGTTCGGTCGACTTCTGGTATCGGCGAATTTCACGCAGGGCCACGGTTCCAGGCCTGTAACGGTGAGGTTTCTTCACCCCGCCTGTGGCAGGGGCACTCTTGCGAGCAGCCTTGGTAGCAAGCTGCTTACGCGGAGCCTTGCCTCCAGTACTCTTGCGCGCGGTTTGTTTAGTTCGGGCCATGCTGCGTGCGTCCGATCACCTCGACTGACGGAGCGAAACTGCGCTCCTGCCGGAGATCGGCAAAAGCGGCTTCGCCGCACGACCATCTCTCTCCCTCCCATTGGCCGAAGCGTGAGAACCCGTCCGCGTGCGAGCGCGAGTGACGTATGACGCCTAGTATTCCTCGATGGCGCTCAGTGTACGGCACCTGTGCAAGCTTATCTAGAGTGTACAGCTACTAACTTTGGGGTCAGCATGCTTTTCCTTTAATCTTTTAACTTTACGCTTGAGATTAATGATGCTTCTCGTCATCCAGGGCCTATGTTTATGCACGTTTTTACATTTAGACGGTATAAATTTTTAGATACAGTAGAAGCATATGCTTTTAAATTGGTCCCACAATCTACAAACATTGGTAGCTACAAAATCTATCAGACAGGTTTCTAGGTGCTCGATAATGCAAGCATCATTGCACGTGTATAGTCTTTCACACAATGAAAGGACGAGTTAGCAGTTTCCGAAAGCGCATTCAAAAGCACCGAAGCCGAAAAAAACCTGCACCAAGAAAAGAAGCGTTCCGTTTAGCGACATGGCAGCTTTGGGTCCACCGTGCCCATAGAATACGAAATCGTGCCGGTGCTCTTTTATAGCGACGCCAAATGATGACGTCACGCTATGATGCTTGAGAGGAAAGGCCTGTAGAACTGCGTCGTTGGGTGACGACAGCTTTGAAAACGTGGGGTTCGTGGATGACCTGGCTCGTGTCGTCGCAAGATGCATAAAGTGGCTGTGCGCATTCAAAAGCACCGAAGCCAAGAAAAATCTGCACCAAGCAAAGAAGCGTTCCGTTTAGCGACATGGCAGCTTTGGGTCCACCGTGCCCATAGAAGACGAAATCGTGCCGGTGCTCTTTTATAGCGACGCCAAATGATGACGTCACGCTATGATGCTTGAGAGAAAAGGCCAGTATAACTGCGTCGTCGGGTGACGACAGCGTTGAAAACGTGGGGCTTTTGCTGATGAGCTGGCTCGTGTCGTCGCAAGACGCATAAAGTGGCTGTGCGCATTCAAAAGCACTGAAGCCATGAAAAACCTGCACCAGGCAGAGAAGTGTTCCGTTTAGCGACTTGGCAGCTTTGGGTCCACCGTGCCTGCACTGCACTGCAACGTAAAGAAATGACGCTAAATATATGTACGATTGTGGAACACACAGACATACATTGAACAGTCTCATATTAAATATACGCCCACTTATTTCAGTTGAGTGCCACAATGGATGGCTACTTAAGGGCCGAGGTAGACAGCCGCTAACACGAAGGTCGCACGTTCCATCTGGGCCGCAGCAGTAGCATTTGAATGGAAGCAAAATGGTATAGAGGTTCGTGTACTGTGCCATGGCAGTACACCTTCAAGAACAACACATGATCACATTTCAAAGCGCACCTTTGTGGAGTCTCATCGTGCTTTTTGGACGCCAAATTACCGAGAGAGAAAGATGCAAACTTGGTTAATTTCTGGGCTGGGCTGGGCTCCCACCCGGGAGTTCATGGAAAGACCGTATCTGCCGACAACTTCCTGGGCCTGCGGGATCGCCCAGAGTGGTTTCTCCAGGCTCAAACAGAGCAACGATATGACTAGGAGGGAGGTCAGTACTGGCACAGATTAGAACTATACAGGTTGGCATATATCGGGAGCTAAGCATGATGACGGTGAGTGTGCCATTGTACGGACTGGGCTCCATTGACCTTTGTGTAACGTGGAGGGTGCTCCCCCTTTTGCAGTCGATAGTGTTCAGTTATGTTACAAAATTTAGTGAGCACATTCTTGATCCTAACACCAGTGTAGAGAAGTTCGTTTGGGTGGTCGCTTAGTCTAACACGACGAAAAATGTAACATATTGAGCCATGTTGTGCACCACTGTTGCATCGATACCTAAAGTCTGATAACATCGGAGATGTTGCATCATCAATACAAAATCTTGGATTTTATTGGACTATTGGTATTGGATGCTGATGCAAAATGTCCTCCAAGACTATTTCTTCTTGTCAAAATGCTGATCCGTCACTTGCCTGGATCCCTGCTCGTTCTTGGTTTTTGTGTCGTTAGCGGCCACTGTGGCGTAACGCCCATGTGCGCTTGCACCCACTGCATTCAAGTATTTACGTCCTGTACAGCCTGCTTGTGACACTCAAGAAGGACCATATAGGGACGCAGGCCACGGCACCGACTACATTTGGCAGCAGTGGTTTCGGCGCCAAATGGACCGTCTTCTAAGACTTCTTGTCAACAGGTTGGTTGGTTACCTCTGTATCTCAATCGAAGGCACTGGCACTCAAAAAAGAAAATAAATGAACATACTTATGGACAGATAATTGCCAGATAAAAGCCCACAAAACTGATGACAGCAGGATCTATTGAATTATGACAGTCTGTCTTTCGAATTTTCTTGTAAGGCATTGTACGTTTCTTCAGTGTTTTATTTTTTCGCTTTTTATTCTTTCTGTTTCACATAACATTTCTCTCCTCTGCTGACCCAAAATGTTGTCTTAGCGCAAGGAAATGATCACTCATTCACTTCAATGCCCGTAGCTTTCGCAAGGACATAGGTGCAAGGGCACGGCGAATCTGTTAAGATGACGCCACCTAAACTCCCGCTCCTGTATTTCCAGGTTTCGCTGTGCTGTGCAAGTGAATTCACGGAGGCCCGGGACACGAGTCGGACCATCAATGCATCTGAACATCGTCGCTTGCAACCCGTGTGGCTTCCTACAAACGTCATCGATGATGAACCATCTCATGTGTATAGAACGGCGATGACTTCGGCCCCCAGAATGAAAACGAAGTGCACAGGCCACTTAAGGGCTGTCGGCATCGAGGACTTTCGTGGGAATGGTGAATATGGAGCCACCTAAACTCCCGGTCCTGTATTTCCAGGTTAGTGGCTTTGGTAAATGCTTCAAAAGCAATAATAGATTCAACGTTGTTGTGCCATGCCCCAAATGTGTCTTGATCGCGCCATTTCCTGCTTGTCAATGTTATTGCTGCTCTGTAATGATGTAGAACAAAATCCTGGTCCCAACTTAAAGGATATGCTAGAAAACTTTTGGAAGGACAGAAAGAAATCAAGGAGGACATGAAAGTAATTAAGGTTGACCAATAAACATTCTCTTCTGAACTAAGTAAACTAAATCAGAGGGCGTCTGGGGTAGAGGAGACACTGAAAATTGTATAGAAGCACAAGAAAAACTTGCTTGCCTTGAGACAACTTTGAAAGCTATAGTAAAGGCCATTGAGGTGCAGCAAGAAAAAATGACTGATTTCGAAGATTGCAGTCGTAGAAACAATCTCATAGTGTTTGGTATTCCGGAAAGTGATTATGAAACTGTCGAACAAATTGAAAAAGTGCTAACTGATGTATTTTGAGAACGGCTTAAACTTGACATATTCAAAGTCGAACGCATACTTGGATTTTGCAGAAAACAGGAAGGACAAGTACGCCCAGTAATCATGAGGCTTTTTGACTACGAAGAAAAAAACGCGGTGTTCGAAAACTGCAGTAAATTAAAAGGAAGTAGCATTTTGTCTCGGATGACTTTTGTGAAAACACTACGGAAGCGGAAAAAGCCATGGGAAAGCACAAAAGCTGAGAGACTGAGGCTTGAAGGCACGACTGATAAATCACAAGATTGTTATTGATAACGAGTGGTATGCGTGGAATGATGCGCGGACATGTCGAACAAAAGTACGCAAGAAAAGTACAAATTCGTGCAAGTCCGACTGACAATGTAGCAATTAAACTCGAGATTTCAAGCTGATAAAAAATAATGTTCGCAGTCTAGTGAACAAAACCACTCTATATGAGCATCTTCTTTTTTCGTATTATCGAGATATTGTGATTGTAACTCAGACCTGGTTACGCCAGAACATAGCCGACAGCGAAATAATACCCCCCCTCCTGTCAAATAATTCTTAAAGATCGTTGAACCCATGGGGTGGAGTAGCAGTTGTGTACAAAAAAAGCTATTGAGCTTGTGACATTACGCAAATGTCCGGATAATCAAAGCATTTGGTGCAGATCAACGCTGCATGGCTCTCCTTGCGTAATTGGTGCTGTTTATAGACCTCCTAATGCCCCTCTTGCTTTCCTGAAATTTTCAGTGAAATTACACGACAATATATATAAGGCATGCCATCTCAATTATATTTTCAATGTCTGGGCTCTTGGAAGCATTTTTAAATTTAAGCACATAGTTGTGCATGGTAACTCTGTTTTGAGTACAGTGTAAGACTGAAATCTCACAGTTTATGTGATAGTAATATGTCTATGTAGTGGTACCACGGCCAGATGAACATATCTAAGGCTCCTAGCAAGATTAATCAACTACAGTGCCGTAGTTGGAGCCACTTTTTTTTTTTTTTCAACCGAGTCGCTATAAACAGTGCATTCACACGGCTTTTAATAGTCCTCTTGTTTAGGAGATTGCCGGGGGCATTTTGCGATGTGCTTGAAACAGAAAGTGCCACCCACTCTGAAATTATTCTGGTGAATGGAGGGTACGACGACAATAAACAGCACTCTGGAAAGTTGCACTTGTCGTTGTTATTAATATGTATTAGCAGCGGAGCTAGACCAAATGCTTTCGTACGCTGTTTCAGGCATATGTAGAAACAGTTACACTCGTGCTGACACGACTGGACAAACCACACTTCGAGAACGCACATAGAAGCACGACCTGGCTAGCAGACGATGCATGGAGCAATCCACACATCACCGTTTCGGCCAGTTGCGGCCAGGCGGCCACTCTGCTCGATCTCACGGCCAATTGCTGGAGTCACATGGAAAAGCAGCCGATTTTATCGTAGGCACTGTGAGACTCCTGCACAGGTATCGGTAGCCAGCCAGTGTTCACTGGAATGTCAAGGCGTGCGACCGACAGCAGAAACGAAGGAATCAGTGCAGTGTAGAAATTGTTTGCAGATGTGAATGTCGTCTTCGTTTCGTGTGTGTGCGCGTCTTTCCTGGGTTGTACCGTCCATATTTCAAGTGTAATCGTGGGAAACTTACAATATTTCCATGATGTAATCAT